TGAGCTGTCAGCACAGAGACCGACACGGGGTTCGAACCCACGAACTGTGAGATCATGACCTGAGCCAAAGTTGGATGCTTAACCGACTGAGCCACCCAGGCGCCCCAACAGAGACACTGTCTTAAGACACTGTCAGATTTTAGGAGACTAAGAAGACGGACAATGGCATACAAAGTTGCAAAAGAGAAAACATGGAGAAAAACTTTCTCCTCTGTACCTGTGCTGCTTAAGTCTTGTGTAATAGTGTGTATTATTATATGCTATGACTTTTTTTAGGCGGATAGTTTTGAAATTATGCCTATAATAAGATATCTTGTTCATTCACATTTCTCAAACTTCCTTAAGTGGAAGAAGGAAGTAGAGGTACAGCTTAGAACTGGCAGTGGTGCCCTCACACCCAGTCTTCCCCGTGCCAGCCAGGAGGAGTTACTTTGCAGGTGCGCTGTGGCAGAAGGAGAAAGGATTAAGAGCCACTGGCTAAGAGAACAGAACCTAAACTTAGAGCAGTACGGAAGACTCTTCCCAGTCTGCCAGTTTCCCACCTACTTTTCCAGCACCATCTCCTGGCACTTCCCTCGTGAATCCTACACACAACCACACTGATCATCTCCCCTCCCCAGACACACTGTGTTCTTCCACCATGGTGCATCTGGGGCTGCTTGGATCTGTCATTCTGTTCTTCTCTTCAGGCCGGCCATTCTCAAAGGGTCGTCTGTGGACCTCTCAGGGCGTCCGTACAATCAGAAGTATTTTTATAATAGTAACACTGTTCCCTTTTTCACTGTGTAGACAGTTGCACTAGTGGCTCGGAAGCCATCGTGGGTAAAAACTCTGGTGCCTTAACAGATGTCTAGGCAGGGATAACCAGCTGTGTTACTAGTCATTGTATTCCACCATGTACTCGCAAGTTTTGAAAAAGTGTTTCCCATCAAGAATGTTCTTGATGAAGCAGTAGAAATTATTATTTTTATAAATTTTATTAAGTCTTGACCCTTGTGTACTCATCTTTTTAATAAACCACATGATGAAATGGGAAGTATGCAGAAGCTCTTTTGCTCCTTACTGAAGTGCCATGATTGGCTTAAGAAAAAGCACTTGAGTGAGTTGCAAGTGGAACTAGTTGGTTTTTTCACGGGACCCTATTGTCACTTGACAGAACATAAGCAAGATCTGGGTGTTCAAGAGATTTAAGTCCTGACCAACAGCGCTGTGCTGTGCTGTGTGTTTCAGCCCGTCAGCGGACAGTGTCACTCTTCACTAATTTTCTTGTTTGGAGAAGTACAGATTTTTTTTTTTTTTTTCCCTTAAAAATAGACTATGATAGGGGCACCTGGGTGGCTCAGTCGGTTGAGCGTCCGACTTCGGCTCAGGTCATGATCTCACAGTCTGTGGGTTCGAGCCCCACATCGGGCTCTGTGCGGGAGCTCAGAGCCTGGAGCCTGCTTCAGATTCTGTGTCTCCCTCTCTCTTTGTACCTACCTCATTTGTACTCTATCTCTCTCAAAAAATAAATATTAAAAAATTAAAAAAAAAACACACAAAAAATACTATGTTAACTTGTAATAGGCTTATTATTTCCAAATGAATTAATAATTTAAATTCTTTTCTGATTTCTAATACAAGTAAATATCTCTAGTTTAACCCACGTACACAAAAGCTCTTTGGGGTCCTCAAAAATTGTAAGGATGCGAAGGGGTCTTGAGACCAAATCGTTTGAGGCCTTGATACTTGAGGCCCTAGCTTTGGGTGGCATCTTTGCCACCCTGCTGGGGGCTTCTGTGCCACAGCTGCTTTGAGCTTCATCTCTGATAGAATGACTTACCTCTGTATGTCCCACTTCGCTTCCTTGTGTGTGCATCTTCCATCATTCTGTGTACGAGGCAAGTATCTTGCATGCTCTTTAAAACCTAGTCCCTTGAAATCTGTATGCATGTTCTGATTTTTAGAGATCCTGCAGATGTGTCCTCAGAGAGTGACAGTGCCATGACCTCCAGCACTGTGAGCAAGCTTGCCGAAGCCCGGAGGACGACTTACCTCTCCGGGAGATGGGTCTGTGATGATCACAACGGGGACACCAGCATTAGCATTACAGGGCCTTGGATTAGCCTTCCCAACAACGGGGACTACTCTGCCTACTACAATTGGGTAGAAGAGAAGAAAACCACACAGGGGCCTGGTGAGAAACAAAATAGTCTCTGAAAACTTTTTTAAGTGTATGTATTTTTTTAATTGAACTAGAATTGACCTAACAAGATGAACAGTTTTAAAGTGTAAAAAATTCAGGGACATTAGTACGTTCACAGTATTGTGCAGTTACCACCTCTGTTTAGTTCCAGAGCACTTCTATCACCCCAAATGGAAACTCCGGGGCATGAAACTGTCTCCCCCGTCCCCTCTCTTCCCAGCCCTTGGCAACCCCTACAGATGATCCTAACTTACAGTGGTTCACATTAGGATTTTTTGACGTTATGGTGGTATAAAAGCCATACACATTCAGTAGAAACCACGCTTTGAATTTTGATCTTTTCCTGGGCTAGCGAGATGTGGTACATACCCTCCCGTGATGCTGGGCACTGGTGGCCGTAGCTCCCAGGCAGCCACGCAGTCATGAGGGTCAACAGCTGGTAGACGCACTGATGACTGTTCGGTGTTTCCCTTTCTGTATGGTATTCATTAAGTAGCATGAGATAGTCAACACTTTATTATAAACAGGCTTTGTGGTAGATGATTTTGCCGAGCTGTAGGCTAATGGAAGTGTTCTGGACCTGTGTAAGGCAGGCCAGGCTAAGTTATGGGTGTATCAAGGCACAGCCCCATCATAAGTCAAGGAAGATCTGTAGTTTTGTTTTCTGTCTCTATAAATGTGTCTGTTTTGAATATTTCATAAAAATAGGCTCATATATGTGTGGCCTTTTGTGTCTCGATTTTTTTACATAGCATGATGTTTTCAAGGTTCATCCATATTGTAGCATGTATTAGCATTTCATTCTTTTTATAACTGAATAATATTCTATTGTATGTAATGTGGATATACCACGTTTTATATCCAGTCAGTGGATGGATTGAAATATTTTTTAGATATTTCACCTTTTAGGGGATGATATTGCTCTATTTATATAAAAGACTTCACTAGTTAGTATATTTAGCGTATTGTGAATCCCGTTTTTAGAGTTTCTTTGTAAAGAACTTGTTTTTAGCAGGCCTACATGGAGATAGAAATACCCTAATAGAAAAACCCTTAAAAACCCCTATAGGTTTCTTTGGTGGAAAGAAGATTGTTCATTTAGTCATTTAGCAAATGTATAGTGAGTATGTGCTTTCTGTCACGCACAGTGCTGGGTGCTGGTGACACAAAGGCGATGTCACCAAGACGGGTGTAGCTCTTTGCCTTTCTGTGGGTAGAAGGACAGGAAGCAAGCACTGATCAAAGGCATCTTACTGAGTGTGTGTCCTGGACAGATCCAGCACCATTTGTGGGGTGGGGCTACACAGGAAGGGACTGCTTTTCCATAGGGCAGTCAGGGGAGGCCTCTCCGAGAAGGTGACACTTAAGTTGAGCATTAACTGACTGCTTTGATAAATAATACCTCCTCAGGTCCAAGCAGTTCAGACTTTAATTTCATTTATGTTGTGCCTGCGTAGGCCCATATACTTAGGTTACATTCTACTCAGCACAAAACCATAAATGATGAAACATTAATGTCTGGCCATGAACCTTTTGTAAGTAAGGATCAAAACATAACCATCAACAGCATAATGATTAAATTACAAATCATGAAACCTAGGTTCATTGGTATTTTTTGTTGAAATTAAAGTTGTTTGTGTATGATTGTTTTTCTACTCAGACATGGAGCACAGTAACCCCGCTTACACGATCAGCGCTGCGTTGTGCTATGCGACTCAGCTGGTCAACATTTTGTCTCATATACTTGACATAAATCTTCCCAAAAAGCTGTGCAACAGGCAAGTAATTAAAGGTGGCGACGTCATCCTTATCTTAGATCTCTTGTGTTCCTGTTGTCTTCTTATTCTAACTAAACCAAAAACAGGAATTTAAGTATTACTAACTGTGAAAAACTGAGATTAATTTCAAAAGCCTAACGTGCAAGTTTGCTTCAGTATCTTATAATTGCACATGAACTCTTTAAAAAGACCACAGAGAATTCTCCCACTTAGAAAAATAATTGAAAGAAAACCCAGGATATCCAGAGGGTATGCTCATGTGGAAGAACTGGGTAAATTGTGACAGGTATTTTTTTTCAACTTTGTAAAAAAAATATGGTTTAAAATTTAAAAAAAAAAAAAAAAAAGTTAGAGGTGCCTGGCTGGCTCAGTCGAAGGAGCATGTGATTCTTGATCTCAGGGTTGTGAGTTCGAGCCCCATGTTGGGTGTAGAGACAACTTAAAAATAAAATCTTAAAAAAAAACAAATGTAACGGTTTACAATCTACTCAGTTCCTACTATGACCTTCCTACCTCTGTCCAGTCATCCTTACATTTCAAATCAATGTAAGTCTGTATTACCATCTCTCTCCTCTTTTAAACAAAAGGTATTATACTATACTAAGGTGTTTTGCACCTTGCTTTTTGAGTGTTTAATAAATATTTGAGCCTTGTTCTGGGCACTGAGCGGGTACAGTGGTGATGAAAACAGAATCCCTGCCCGAGTGGCACTTTATTCTAACAGAGGGATGAATGATAAATAAGGGGTGTGTGTGTCAGAAGGTAATAAATACTGTGGAGCACGTTCAAGCAGGGTGAAAGAGTGGGAATGGGGAGGTAGGGAAATGCTTGTGCGTGAACAGGCAGGTGTGTGATCACCTGTGACCCTGAGGGAGGAGGGGAGCAAGCCATGGGGGTCCCCGAGGGAGAGGCTGCAGGCGAAGAGAAAGCCCTGCGGAGAGTGAAGGTGGAGGTGCACATCTGGTGGGCCTCGGAGGGCTGTTGTGAGCCTTCGGCTGTCCTTCTGCATGGAGTAGACAGCAGAGGCTTCTCCATGTGAATGTGCCAGGATCTTACCAGTCCCCTATTTATACTTCATGGAATAATCTTGTACATTTGTCATTTCATTACTGTTCAGAAATTTTTCAGAAGCAGAATTGCTTGGTTAGAGGGTGTATGCATTTGTAATTTTTATAGATGGCGGTGAAATTGCTCATGAGGGCAGTAGTTCATTTTTAGAAAGTTTCTGGTTAGTATAGCTTATAAAGAGGCAAAGGAAATTCAGTTTTGTACTGAACTGTGGGGTAAAATATACTTCTCAAAATAGATATTTTAACAGAATTTCCTCAAAAAAAAAAAAAAAAAAAAAAAAAAAAAAAAAAAAAAAAAAAAACAACTTTATGAATTGTGTGTTTGTTTTCCAGTGAATTTTGTGGGGAAAATCTCAGCAGACAGAAATTTACTCGAGCAGTGAAGAAACTGAATGCAAATATTCTTTATCTCTGCTTTTCTCAGGTATGGAAATACACTGTGAGCTAATTTTTAATTTGATACATGGTTGAAAATATTAATCAATTTTTTGCTTTTTCTAGCATGTAAATTTAGATCAGTTACAACCACTGCATACTCTCAGGAATCTCATGTACCTGGTTAGTCCGAACTCTGAACACCTGGGCAGGTAAGAAGGGTGTTTGCTCTTTTCTAAATGGTGGTGTTGTGAATACTTCTAAGGAGAGTTGTATGTGTCGGCAGAGTACAGGGGCCTGTCCCCCACCCCCAGAGTCTCCAAAAAGGATAAAAATAATCCAGTCCCACACAGGAGGAAACCAGAGGCTAATCCTGTTTGCGTCTTTATGGTCCTTAAAAAATCATTTCTCAGAAAATTAATATCCAACATTTTTAACACCTAAAACAAAAGGGAAGAACCCAACTGTTTCTGGAGTGGGGCCTCCTGGTGCTGTCCTTGAAGACCAAAAGCCCTTTCTTTGAATCCACGTCAGTTTCTTCCCAGCCCCGTGGAGGGGTCTACCCCATTTCCTGTGCATTTGCTTTCATGCCCGCTCGCTACTCCCACCATTCTTCCCAATTTTCTTTTTCTTGATCTGGCCACCATTTGTTGGATGTAAAACTTGGTAGAAGTTGATGGAGTGAAGTAGTTTAAAATCTATTAGCTTAAAAACAGGTGTCAGTAACAAAAAACACCAACCAGGACTAGTCAATGGGCTCTTTCTAATCTCTCGGCCCATAAAAGCAGGACACAGATGAGGCTTTTCTTTGGTGTCATCCAAGCGGCCCTCTCTGAGCACTTCTTCCCTTGCTCTTGACGGTCTCCACGTTTCTGCAGATCTGACTTGGTTAAGGTATTGGCATTTTTGAAAGAGAACAAAGAAAAACAGAAGGTGGGAAAGTTATTTTGGGGAGGCCCTTTCCCATGTTCATTTGCTTTGACACTGGAACCAAGGCTCAAGGGGTACCCGCTCCACTGGCCAGGAAGCCAGGATGTCTGGCTTCCTCTGCGTTGCAGTGAACTTTTGTGGTGATCTGCCCTTAACCACTGGCTTGTGTATCTCCCCCCACCTAGAACAGTAACTTTCCTAAGACATAGAACTCTTTGGAAAAAGCTATGTACTCTCTCCAGGAAATAGCACACACACCAGAATTTTGTGCCGTTTTATAGGGGAGTTCATGCCCCTCACCTTACATTCCATTTATTGGTTCACGAGCCACACAAACCTGTTAGAAATCCTCTCCAGTTTTAGTGGCTGATTTCTGTGGGTTTGCTTGCCATTCTCTCTACCTTATTTGTAAAGGGTTCAACATTAGGATATTGATCCTTTATAATAAGAACAAATATTTATTGAGCCAATATTTATTGACACTGGGCCAACTGCCTGACATGCCTTAAATCACAAGTGGGATTATTACTCCTATTTTACAGAGCGGGTGGAAACTGAAGCTTAGCACGGTCAAGTAATTCATGCCCATGGTCACAGAGGCATGAAAGTAGTGGAACCAGGGTCCCAGCACCCATATGACTCCAGAAAGTAGTAGACACTCCTGCTTTTTAACCAGTATATACCACTTCATCACGTTAACGGATTAAAGAAGAAAAAACATGTGAGGTCAGCTTGATAGATGCCAGAAAAGCAGTGAATAAAATTCAGTTCCTATTAATAGTTAAAACTCCTTGCAAATTAAAAATAAATTATAAACAAATTTTACTTACATAGATGTTTGATAAAAGAATTCCTCTCTAGTCGGGAATAAACAAGGATGCCTGTTATCACTGCTATGTTAACGTTGCTCTGGGGGCCTAGGTGAGGCAAAACATTTTTACAGAGAAGTAAGCTATGTTTATATTGGAAAGAAACTAAATTGACATTATTGTAGAGGATATGATTACTGAACTGGACACTTAGGAGAACTAAAACTATTAGAAATGATACTTCAGAATGGTGACCGGATTCAAGGCCACCATACAAAGAGCCGCTGCTTGCTTATACGCCAGCAACTAGTCAGAGGATACAATGAAAAAATGAAAAACAAGATTCCTTTTATTGTAGCAACAAAAACTATGTATAGGAATAACCTTTACAAAATATATGCAAACCTATATGAAGGGAATATGAAACTTAAAATTATGCAACACACATTTCTTGAATGTTTGCCAGGCACTGTATGAGGTGTGGGACTGAATGAAAGAATGCCTGAGGCAGTGAAGACCCTTAGGATTGTCTAGAAATAGGAAGGCTGAGTATTATAAAAATGCTACTTCTCCCCAAAAGGAAACCTGACCAGAATTTCAACAGATGTTTATTGGAACTTTGACAGGCTAATTCTGAAGTTGAACTAGAAGCACAGTCTGCAAGGAAATTGTGAAAAAGAATAGTAAAGGATGAGCTTGGCCCCTTTTAACGCAGCATATAAAGGTAATGAAAACAAGGTGCTGTTAGCATGCAAGTAGGTGGAGCAGTGAGACGAGAATAGAGTCCAGAAGCAAACCCTGTATATGCAGAGAATAGGTGATAGGGGTAGCGTGCTGCGTCAGATAATAATAGCTCAATAATGGTGAGCTTAGTTGGGTATTCATACAGGGAGAAAGTCGAATTCATACCACATTCCACCCAGATGAAACAAAGACCTTATTTTATTTAAAAAAAAAAAAAAACAAACAAAAAACCTAGAAAATAACTAGGAGAAAAGACAGTGTTTTATAATCACAGGGTGGGGAGGGAATTCCCACACAAGCCGCAAAGTCCAAAAACCATGAAGGAAGGAAAAGAGTTACATATTTTACTATGTCAAACCTCTAAATGCCTCTGGTAGAATACCAGATACCATACACAAAGCTAAAAAGACAAGCAACAGATACCCTTTGGAATCTATATAGCAGACAAGGGATTCAAATCTAGACTACTTGAAGAAATCTTTCAAAAAACCCCTTCAAATCTGTAAAAGAAAGGCAAACCTAATAAAAAGTAGACAATGGATTGATATAGGCAGTTCACACACAAAAAATGCAACTGGTCCATATTCAAATGAAAAAAATCTTCAGCCTCAACTGAGAATAAAGTGTAATTCAAAACAGCTTTCCAGTTTTCACCCATCAGTTTGGAAAAATGGAAAGGACTGATGCTACTCAGTATTGGTGGTGGTTCAGAAAAACAGGCACTCTTCTACTGGGGGCAGATTTCTTTGGAGGGTCTGAAGCTATCTGTGGACTCACCCTTGAGTCAGTGCTCCAGTTAGCACCAGGGGGCTCTGTCTGACGGAAGTCTGTGTACACAGCCAGGCTCTTGACATTCGAGTCTGTGGTCTTTGAGCCAGGAGGAACTAGAGCTTCAAAAGTCCTCTTTCACACCTGCCTCAGCCACAATCAAGGCTTTGGAGAGATTGTTACTGGAACTTGGGTGGGATTTTCTGTTTCCATTGAGATCAACTGAACTGAGGATCCCATCCAGAATCCAACATAAACTTTTTTTTTTTGAAATACAAACTTGCAAATATATTCAAAATTGCAAAAAACAATAGTAGTACAAAGACATATACCCTTTACCCAGACTCACCTTTGTTACTGTTCTACCCTGCTTGCTTTATCATTTGTGTGATCTCTCTAAAAATACACACACTTTTTTTTTTTTCCCTGAACGCTATGAGGATAGGTTATGTATACCTCATGGCTCTTGACTCCTAAATACTTCTTCATATATCTCCTAAAAATAGGGATATTTTCCTGCTTGACCATAGTACAGTTACCAACATTAGCAAATTTCACATTGATAGAATATTTTAATCTACCGCCCATCTGCCCATTTTGTCTATGGACTAGATTAATGTCTTTTATTCTACTGTCCCCTCTAGCACAGGATCCAGTGTAGAGTCTGGTGTTGGACTTAGTTGCTGTGTTTCTTTAACCTTCTTTAAATCTGGAACGTGCTCATAGCCCACTTTGTCTTTTACAACATTAACATTTTTCCCTTTGTTTTAATAGAACTTTGATTCTGAATTTGATGTTTTCCTGTATTGAGACTCTAGGAATTCTGTGCATTCTAGGCTGGAACACTGCCTGGGCAGGAGTGTTTCCTGGACACTCTGGAGGCCACAGTGGCCTCCTGTCCCCTCATTGGTGATGTGAATTTGATCACCCACTCAGGATGCTTTTTACCTTCTCCACTGCAGAATTCCTGTGTTTGTCTTTTCTTGCAGCTGAGTAGTCCGTGGAGAGACAGACCATGCAGTTACCCTGCTCATTAGAATTTTCCCCAGGATTTAATATCTGTTGATTTTTCTTATATCATTCAATCTTTATCATGATGGCGCTTACCTTAACACATCATTATCGTCCAAAGTGCACAGAGTTTATTCTTGAAGTTATATATTCTGTCAGGTAATATTTTTGAAATAAGATAGTTTGCAAAAGAGACTTTAAAAAAACCAAAAAGATCATTTTGTTGCCTTAATTGGTAAGAATAATTCCCTCCAGCATCATGAAAAAATTAGTAATCTTTATTCTCCAAAGACATTAAGCATAAGAGACTTAATTCTTCTGCTAATTTTGTGTAACGTGTGTGGCTCAGGGTATGCTGGGCAACAAAAATTGCTCCAACTGGCCGCTTTGGGAATCACTGACTGCTTTTTCAGTTGAAGTACTTAAATGAGCTCCCATCCATGCCAAGTAGACTCTGCCCTGTGAGATTCCAAGCAGAGAAGTACCCAAGTGGTTTCCAGGGGAGCTCTGCCTGGAAGAAGTATCACCCTCCCCCCCCACACACACACCCACCTCCCCTTGTATCACTTCTGCCTGTCCCCTGGGAAAACCCTTTAGGAGGGGGGTCTGGGGACCGTGGCAGTCTCCCACCAGTTGGATAAGGTGGCATCGAAGAGGGACAGAAAGCAGGCTCTGCCTCTGAGCTAGCAGAAAGGAAGGCTTGAAATGGCGCCCGGTGCTGAGGCCCCTGGACAACAGAGCTCAACAGGACAGAATGAGAGAGCTCTGTGTTTAGGAAAGGGGGTAACCCAGCTAAGATACTTAAGTTGTGAACAGTTTTAGTAGGCAGCCGCCACGAGAAGAGAGAGGTGGCTCTCTGGCAAGCTGAGGCCGGTGGGACTGACTGGAGGCAGACGCTGGCGAGGAGGAGGCAGTAGTGAAGTAAGGACCTGAGCTGGAGGGACATGGTAAGGATTGGAAGGGGACTTATTTGGTGATATGAGGGAGGAGGCCCGCCTGGCTTGTTTTGAGACTGGTCAACTGGCTCAGATACCTGAGATGAACCTGGGAGGTTAGCCCTTGGATGGAGAGCTCTAGCAGGCAGTGAGGCTAGGAGGAGAGGTATCAAAAAAACAAAGAAAACGAAAGGTAAGGAGAATCTTTTAAGGAAACAGGAAAGGGATACTCTGCTAAGGTGCTGGTTTCAGTAGTTGTTGATTTGAGAATCAAGCTGCAGGGGGAGGTAGAAGGGTTGTGAGGAGAGTCTCCCAGTTCCTGCTGCCTTCACCCCTTGCAAAATTACCCTTCTCCTGGTAAACTTGGGAGCCCCTGGTCTGAAGGGCTTTTTGAAATGTAAATTGCTCCCAGGAGACCAAAGGGAAACCCTGTGGTGCATCTTTCAACTTAGTATTTGTATAAAGCCCTAAAAACAGTGCCTGGAACAGAAATGTTAGCTGTTACTCTTGCTGTGTTTCAGCTGGGAAGCAGGGTTGTCTTGGAGGAGCAAAGGCTACCTGACCCTGGAGCAAGTGATTTGGAAGGTGCGGGTGTAGTGAGGTGCACTGGAGGCCAGCGCTGCACTGTTTCACAAAGGCTATAAAGAATTTTGGGCCATAGGCCAAAATGGCAGGCCGTACTCTAGGGTATTTCTCATTTCTGTTATTTTTGCTAGCCCCTGTCATTTTCCCCAACGTAAATATCACTGAAACTGCTAAATGAACTGAGGCATGTGTCCTTATCTTGGGGGTGGAGAGAGAGGCCGCTGGAGGGACTTGGCCCCACCCCGTGGATGGCCGCATGGAAGAGAAGTGGGTGGGTGACTGTGCACCCCCCCCCCCCCCCCCCCCCCCCCCCCGCCTCGCCCAGCCAAAGAAGGAAATGGCTCTCCTGAGGCAGGAGCTGACCAACACTTGAAAGGGGCAGGGGAAGGAGGCAGCAGCAGAGCTGGGTGGGGTTTGCTGACACAGTTCCACCGTGGTGCTGAGGAGCTGTCAGAGGGCGAGGCCTGAGAAATGTTATTAGATTTGGAGATGACGACGTCATTAGGGACCTCTGGGGAATAGTTTTCTCCCAAAATATAGTGCAGAAGTAGGCACTATTCCAGATGAATACAATCTAAATAGTTATATCTCATTCTGTTATAAATGTGTCCCTTGAAAATTATGGGATATCTTAAAATGTGTGCAGGAGCCTGCTGATGACACCCATCCAAGGGAGCATTGCTAACATGCATACAGCCGTACCATTTAGTTCTTTTGAGTCATAGGAATACAGTAATTGGAGGCTTCCATAAGGCAGAGAACATCTGTACGGTTTTTTCCTTTACGTTTATTTCTCGTTCCACCAACTAATATACCAGAGTATATATCAAGTGACTGTTTTTGTCAGAATTGTCTCATTAAAATGCATAGATGATACAGTAGTATAAAACAGGGAATTGTACTTTGGACCAGCATGGTTAGTCTCAGTGGTTGGGTTTTTCCCATCCAGGATCTTCACAAATCAAGTAGGTAGAGTTGAAGAAAAGTGTGGTATTGTGGTTTTGTTCATTACTTGGATGGCAGTTATTTAGGTAAAGAAAAACTCAATTATAGACCAACAGCGAGCACAGTGCAGACTTGGGAAACAGGTGGAGTGGTGGTTCCGGACCTCCTATCCTGTCAGGCCTTATGTCATGTGTTGTCACAATGCTGGTTGTCTTTTTTTTTTTTTGACGTTTAGTTTTGAGACAGAGCGCCAGTGGGGGGGGGCAGAAAGAGGAAGATCCCAGGCAGGCTCATAGTGCGCTGAAACCCGACAGTTTAGAGCAGTCACAAGCTAATGAGATCTTGACCGAGCGAGAATCAGAGTTTGGGCACTTACCGGCCAAGCCACCCGGGCGCCCCAACAATGCTGGTTGTCTTAAAGACTCCTTCACTGTGTGTGCACAGGTCGGGACCCTTTGAAGTGCGAGCGGACCTCGAGGAGTCCATGGAGTTTGTGGACCCCGGCGTTGCCGGGGAGTCAGATGAGAGTGGCGACGAGCGCGTCAGTGACGAGGAAACCGACCTGGGCACAGACTGGGAGAACTTGCCGAGTCCCCGGTTTTGCGATATCCCTTCCCAGCCTGTGGAAGGCTCCCAGAGCCAGAGCAGCCAGGTATCCCCGCCCATCGCTAGCAGCAGTGCCGGTGGAATGATCTCCTCCGCCGCAGCCTCGGTGACCTCCTGGTTTAAGGCTTACACTGGACACCGCTAACGCACCCGGACCAAAACATGCCAGGTTTGCATCAAGATAGTTGTTCTTCCACTATGTTCTAGTAAAGTTTATGTATTCAGTTAAAATAGTGCCTGGAACAGAAAGAGGTTAAACCATTGTGTTTTTGGTAAAGCAGGGAGACAAGCATTTCTGTTTATCAGATGGCCGATGGGAGTGACCCACATGCTTATAGTAGAACAGCAGGGTCAGAGGTCCTTCTGCCCAGACCAGTGTTGGTGGAAGAAAGACCAGTGTGTGTGTTCTGTTGAAGCAGAAAATTCACTTGGGCTCCCTTCAGTCACAGGCCACAGGACCCATGGATGCAGGTTGACACATTGGTCCTTGTGATGTGGAGACTGTTCCTGAACACTTCACATTTTAGAGGCAGAATCACAAGGAAGTGATTCTTGATGATCAGGACTTGCAAGATACAAACTGTTTCATATGCGTTTGTTCTTATGCCATCATTTTTTTGTACAGAGAACCAGCAGGCAATTTGAAATACTTGATTTCTTTAGGATTTGGTCATGTTTGGTTTTTAGGTCAAGGATTTTGGTTTGTTTGGAAGGAGGGGGGGTGTTTTGGGGGAGGGGAGGGGTAGTTTGAAAATTATCTCATTCATGCTGCTGCTGTCGTAGCTTGTCAGACATTCCTGGTTTTCTTTATCCCCACACACCAAAGAAATGAAGGTCTTTTTTATTTTTGGACCTACATCCATGAACAGAAGAATTCCCAGCTGCAGTGATGGCCTGGAGATTTAAAAACTATTTTCTTACATTCTGAAGGGAATTAAGTTCATTCTCAGATTATTGAATTCCTACCATCTACACTATGTGCATTTTGAAACTGAACTTTTCTTCTGAGTGAAAAATAAGTTATTAAGGTTGTTCCCTTATGTAAGTGAAATGCCTGCCTGGGCACAGGTTAAAAGCCACTTAATTAAATGGCCTCTGGTCATTCTTCTGGTGTCCCAATTTCTTTCTAAGGGATTCAGTAGGTGGCAGGTTTTCCAAGAGAAAACCATCCTGCTTGTTTTCTTAGAGGTCTTTGTTGCTCTAGGGACACTGTCTTCACTCAGAAATGCAGAGCAAATCGTTATAGCTGATACTATTCTCCATCGTGGGGAAGGCTCTGACAGAATTTTTCCTCACCAGGAGATCATTTTCAGCTAATGTGTCTGTCTTGTCATTCTCTTAGTGACAATCTTATAAGAAAACTGTAGAGGCATTATGTACAAATATGTAAGTAGTTTTTTATTTTTAATAATTGCAAAAAAAATCCTATGTAACAACTACAAAAAGAAATCCTATGAAAAATTCCTAACAGGCATTATTACCATATCTTGTTAGTGTGATTAGCATGACAGTACCTCAGATAAATCATTCAGAGATTTGCCCTAGCTTCTTTTCTTCTTGTAATTATCATAGTTGATACTTTGCCTCCAAATCCGAGGTGCTATATAGCTTTTGCTGTTGGTCTATTTAGTGTTTGGTAGAGTTGCAGAAGAAGGGTTTATTTCTATCCAGGAGTCACAGGTTCCCAGACTCTCTGGATTTTCCACTTAGGGAGGAAACGTGTTGGTTCTCAATAGCAGGTGTCTGTTTTAAGTGCTCAGCTTCATGATTGCCGAGCTGGCATTGTACCACGCAGGTCTGAAATTCATAGAACGGGTACGGCAGACTTGAACAAATACCAAATGAACTTAAAATCCCATGAAATGAGGGTTGTCTAGGCATTTCAGACCCTCAAAAAGAAGAGCTTAGTCTCCAGTCTTGGAAGACGCATTTGGGGCTTGGGGATAGAGACGGGACTGCAGCTAAAAGATGCACAGTCATGGTTTTGCTCAAGCCGCTTACGAAACTATGAATGGGAGATTGAGCTAAAGAATAGAATCCAGAGGTCAGAACTCATATCTAGAGTAATTCAACAGAACTTACAAGAATATGGGAAATTAGGGATTGGTAGGGTATATTTTGTTGTTTATATCAACTAGAGGCACTTTATTTAGGGTTAAATGATCAAACCCTTTAGTGGTTTCGAACACCAACATACTGGCTTACACTGCTGAGATATTTTGGTTTTCATTATTTTGCACTGGATCCACCCTGTAAATATTCTTAAATATACATTTCAACCACTGTTTTTTCCTACTCTCTTTGCTGCTCATTAAAATCTTTCATGTAGGTGCCAGAACCATATGTAAACAGCTTTTTAAAAATTGAAGCTGGTATTTTTTTTTTTTAAACAAAAGCCATAGAACTTGGTCATGTTTTCCATATAAAATGATTTGTCAAAACAAGGTAATACTAATAAAAACCTACAGGCACCAAATAGGCTGCTTCAAACGGTCTGTTACTTTTTTTTTTGTAATGGAATATAACTAAGAGAAGTTTTGCACATCTTTAAGTTAAGGGGAAAAACAGTATGTCAACATTGGGTGTTGTTGGACAGGATTCATTTAAGGATTCGTGTTTCGATAATTTGGTAAAGAGCATTCAGGAGCATGCTGTTTTTAAAAGAACTACAGTGTCTTAGAATCTCCTTGTGGTGTCATGTTGCAGGAATTTCCCATTACTCTGTGACTTCCAAACCAGTTTGAGTCATAACAAATGTTTTCTAAACTTTTATTGTATTATTGCAATAAATCTTTTAACAGTACTTTGCTAATATGTCTTTTTCAAGCTCTGATTGCTCGTTTCTATTGATACCTCAAGGGTAGCAAGAATGAAATTTGACTGAAATACTTCATACAAATTATAGGGTAATCTTTTTAGAATTTTTTGCTAGGTAATGAAAAAGGCCTGGTAATCTTAAAAATTAGAGCTTATGGTGGTATTAACAGTAACCGTCTATCTTTAGTAAGCTGGGAAAAACTAGTTGCTTACCAGTTACATACTTTCTGGAAAGATGCATCTATGATGCACATGCCCTGCGGTGACTTGGTGTATGTAGCACAGCAGCAGCTCTGTGGGAAGGAATGCACGGGGGCCTACAGGGTGCCCATATGGAACCTGCCCAGACTTTCTTCAGGACAGGAGAGAAAGAGAAATGTCAGAGGTTGGAGGCGATCTGTTGAGTTGAGAGAGAATGCGGATAGTTTTGAAGAATCACTCTTCCCCTTTTCCCCCACCCCCTTTCAGGTTAGATCCTGGAGAAGAGTGATTACTGGGGAACTGCTGCGTGGTTCGCCCTATTGTTTCACCTGCAGAAAGCTACCAGGTAGCAGGAGGAAAATGGGCAAGGAGACAGAAGGGTCCCAAACAGGGCACACGCTTCAGTGCCAGTGCCCTTCCTCCTCCTGGTAACACTTCCAAACACGCTCCTCCTATCTAGTGTATACTGCTCGGAGGTGCCCAGCCCCAGAGCTCCATCATGACTGATGTGGGAATCAGGGCAAAGCAGATAGGAAGCACTAAGGATAACTTTATCCTTAGTAGTTGGGTGGTCATTAAAAGTTACATCAACAAGATGTACCAGGAATTTGAAACTGGGCTTTGGGCAGGTCACCTGAACTTCAGCTATGAGATGCTCAATGAGAGAAAGCCACCACCAGCATCCCATTCCAAGGATCTGGTGAGAAAATGCCCTGAAAAAAAGAAATACAACACGTAATCCTAAAATTTGTATGGAACCACAAAAGACCTTGAGTAGCGAAAGCAGTCTTGAGAAAGAACAAAGCTGGAGGTATCACAAACCCAGGTTTCAAGATATACTACGATGCTGTAGTAGTCACACTATGGAACTGGCACAAAAACAGACACATAGATCCATGAAACCAGAGAGCCCATATTTATATGGTTAAGCTACATACTATAACGGAGGCAAAAATACACGATGAAGAAAAGACAGTCTCTTAAATGGTGGTGGGAAAACTGGAACACTTTCTTATACCATATACCAAAAAAACTAAGAATGGATTAAAGACCTACGTGTAAGACTTGAAAGCATAAAACTCCTAAAAGAAAACATGCTGTAATCTCTTGGACTTCAGCTTTAGCAACATATTTATGGATATGTGTCCTCAGCCAAATATGAACTCTTGGAACTACCACAAAATAAAGCTTTTGCACAGCAAAGGAAACCATTAACAAACATACAGGCAAGCTACTGAATTCGAGAGGATATTTGGAAATGAAGTATCCAGTAAGGGTTACTATCCAAAATATATAAACTTTATGCAGTTCACACCAAAAAACCCCCAATCCACATCCTGACCTGAATAGACATTTTTCTGAAGAACACATAGAGAGGGCCAACAGACACATGAAAAGGAGCTCAACGTCACTAATCATCAGGGAAATGCTAATCAAAACCACAATGAGATACCACCTCACACCAAAATGGTTAATATCAGACAAGTAAATACTGGTGAGGATGTGAAGAAAAGGGAACCCTGGAGCACTGTTGGTAGGAATGTAAATTGGTATAACCACTCGAAAACAGTGGAGAGTTTCCTCAAAAAATAAGTACCACATAATACAGTATTGCCACTACTGGCTATTTACCCAAAGAAACAAAAAACACTAATTCAAAAAGATATGCACCCCTGTTTACGGCAGCATTATTTGTAATAGCCAAGATATGGAAGCAATCTAAGTGTCCATGGATAGAAGAATGGATAAAGATGTGTATACATGCACAATGGAATATTAACCACAAAAAAAGAAGATCTTGTGTGACGACATAGACGTAGAGAGTATTATGTTACATGGAATAATTCAGAGAAAGACAAATACCATGATTTCACTTCTATGTGGAATCTAAAAAAAGTGAACAGACTCATAAGTACAGAAAGCTGGTAATTGACAGAGGGGAAGAGGATGGGGGGATGGGGGGATGGGTGAGACAGGTGAAGGTGCATTAAGAGGTACAAACTTTCAGTTATAAGTCACGGGGCATGCCTGGCTGGCTCAGTAGAGCATGCAACTCTTGACCTTGGGGGTCATGAGTTCAAGCCCTACATTGGGCTTAGAGCTTACAAGTCACACAGATGGAAAAGT